AATTTATAAACTAGCAAGGGTTCATGAGGAGCAGGGAGGGAGGGAGGGAAAAAATGAGGAGCTGATACCAATGGCTCAGGTAGAAAGCAAATGTGTTGAGAATGATGATGGCAACAAATTTATACATGTGCTTGACATACAATGAATGTATGTATGGATTGTGATAAGAGTTGTACGAGCCCCCCAATAAAATGATTTTTTAAAAAGACAGAAACAAAAAAGATGCTATTATCAGCAGACCCCAGGTAAAGATGCATGTCTGGCATAATTGAAGATGTTCGTGACATACAACGATCTCAGAACATGCAACAGACATACCTGTTCTTCATTAGACGAACCTCTCTCTTTCGCGCTGCCTCTTCAGCAGGCTGCGTGGGAAGTGCTGGGGAGGATGCCATAACAACTCCAGGGGCAATGGTGCTAGTGGGGGCTGTGCGAATCTGATACGTTTGTACATCGCCAGAGGCAGCTGGGAACCAAAGGGAACAAAGCAACAGAGTGAGCCGAGTATAAAAACACTGTGATAAGGTTCAATTACATGTATCTATCATCCATTTGAACATCCATTCTGGAATCAAAAGGGGGGAAAAGGAACAGATGATTCTGAAAAGAATCAGCATTTGGGCCATTACTGAGAAATAATTCCCAGTTTAGTTAATTGATTAGTATAGACACCATGAAAGAGGTCTTAACCTATATGAAGGGGCTTTCAAAAAGTTTGTGGGAACACAGAATTAAAAGATACACAGTATTTCCCCACTAAATTTTTGAAGCCTTTTATGTACTAGTTGTTGTATTTCTTTCATTGGGATGCAGTTCTATCTTTTGATAACATGCTTACCAACCTTAAGTCTAAAAGGTAAGCAGGGCCCAGCTTGGCTGATCTTCCTAGACAGAGTACAGTCCTCACTGTCTTCCATTGATAGTGGTAAATTCACACTAAAACATTTCAAGTAGACTTGCCACGACATAAAAACGACCATGATTTTTCATAAAATAGCAAAACGGAAGAGAAAATACAGCATTATGGTCAACTATTATAAGTTTCTAATGGAAATAAAACTGAAAAGTGGAATCACTTAATGCCATCTATATTGTTTGTAAACACAATTGTTTTACTGTAAATTAAATGGCTAAATAAATTGATAGTTTATTCTTCTAACCAACTGATTCATCATTTATAGAGAGAACTATAATCACTATTTGTCAAAATGCTTCTAAAATAACTGGATATCCCCTCCTGAGAATAAGAAACCTACCATTATTTCAGAAAATTTCAAGATCTTTATAGAATTATCCATACTTGGATACCCAAATTATCCGCTATTTAATATCAATTAAAATGCGTAGTTTGAATGGAAAAGATTTATATACTGAACATGTTACCATCTTCAAACTGACGTTCAGAATTCAAATTCACTGACATCCTGCTTTACAATTTTTGAGTACCTGCATGTAAAGTGAAAAGGTGTTTTACTCCCATTAATAAGCAAAATATTATGTTCTTCAAACATTATTTGTTTAGTAGCAGAATATATTCTGTAAATACATTACTCACACCCACTGCCATCGAGTTGATTGCAACTCATAGCAATGTTTTATAGGGTTTCCAAGACTGTAAATCTTTACAAAAAAGCAGACAGCTTAATCTTTTCCCCCATGGAGCAGCTAGTGGGTTTGAACCATTGACCTTGTGATTAACAGCCCAATGATTAACTCACGGCACCAAAAGAGCTCCTTGTAAATACATTAGAGTCCTTTAAAGTATGACTCATTCTACTTGTTTTAGAATTATTCAAAAATTACTATCTCCAGCTAAGGGGCAAAATTCTTGTCACTTAACATTAGCAAAATGCATTATTATATACAAAAATATTTTCAGAAACAAATCTATTTTTATTTATGCAATTTGAAAATCTCCAATATAGCATAAAATAAATTCTTAAAATATTCATATTAATTTAACTTCTACTTATAAAATTTCCTAGAACAAGCAGGAAAAAAGAAAACCTTATCTAAATTTTAAAAAGGAGGGTAAAAAAACCAACAACAACCCTATTTCTAGAATTCATCAAAGACTTTACTACGGTATGTCCTTTTACCCAGAGAATTATTAAGTCATGGTTTGACTTGATTTCCATAGTAGTACAATAAGATTTCTTTCAGAATGCATTATTTTCAACAGAAATGAGAGCTCTAAATAGATCCTGAGTAAAAGACAGAGAAATCAAATCTGGAATCTCCCTTTTTCTTTAATCAGTGTTTTGACACACTTGCACAAAATGAGGCCATGAGAAATTGGGTCTTGCTCCAGGCCACAGGGCAAGTACATGCAGAATCAGATGCAGAATGCAGATTTGCTAACGCCTGACTTCTTACCTTTCCTTCTATCCATTCTGTGTGTATCACTGAATACTAAGAATTTTAAATATAGATTTTTTGGGGGGTAAAACTGAAAATAGTTGTTTTTATGCCATGACATTTCAGTCCAATTGGAATACCCGAAGAATTTAAGGGTAATAGTGTCTATAGTGAAAAATTAACTATGTTGTAATAGTGCTTTGTGATATAATACTTACTTTTTTCTGAGAGTTTATAAAATTTTAATCTTTCGAAGAATTAACTTTACCTGTGAATTAAAAATCCCTTACCTTGAACAACAACTTGGTTGCTGGGCACTAGGATCTGCTGTCCATCAGTGGTCTGGGCATACTGCAGAATCGTGGTACCCGGCTGAGTAGCGGCTGCATTGGTCATGGTTAATGTTTGCAGGCCCTGTACCCCATCAGTACCATTGTTAGCCAGTTGTATTGCTCCTCCCTGGGTAATGGCAACTAAAAATCCAATGGGTTTTATTGTTACAAATCTAATACCAGACTAAATCTACAACACACTAAATTCAGTGTAGAATAATTTGAATGACACAATCTAGGAAAACTTATTACAGCAAGTAACATCAAGGGTTTAGTATGTGCAAGTAATTTTCTGCATAGGAAATCCACATCCAATTCCTACAATACAAAGGCACTCTTTGAATCTCATGATAAATGCTGAAGTACTAACTACAAAGTAGTTTAACTGTTTCAATATTTGCTGTATCACTGGTAAACATATTTTGTAAGGCTAAGAGGCCTGATTCTCTACCCCACCTGCTGTCCCCACCCCCCAACCCTGCCCGCTTTCACAAATGCTGCGCCAGGCACATCAAAGCCGACCACTGCAAGGCAAGCTTTGGAGACTTGAGACCACTGCAGTAAGAGACTACTGCATAAGCGAGCTACAGTTTCGGGTTTCTCGTTGTACATGACGGTTCACACTACATGGTAGTCTATTAAGTGTGTAACAGCATTATCATAAAGGTTTAAATACTGTGAGAATTACCAAAATGTGAGACATGGAAGTGAGTACATGATGTTGAAAAACGGCACCAATGAACTTGCTCAGCTATTTGTTAAAAAACTTCATTCTGTAAAAACACAGTGTCTGCATATCACAATAAATGAAGGTCTGCCTGTACTCTAATCTACTAGTGATACACAATTACAATAAAAATACACCAACGCACTGTTCACAATAGCAAAAAGGAGGAAGCAACCTAAATGCCCCTCAGTGGATGAAGCTGTTCACAAACTAGGTACATACACAGTGGAATAGAAAATGTTAGCGAATAACGATGAATCCGCAATATATTTCATATGGAGGACCCTTGCAGGACATCATGCTGAGTAAAATAAGTTAATACAAAAGGACAAATATTGCCTAAGACTAGTACTGTATATACTCGGGTATAAGCCGAGTTTTTCCGCACATTTTTAATGCAGTTTTTGTGGTAAAATTAGGTGCCTCAGCTGATATTGGGGTTGGCTTATACTCAAGTACATATGGCACTATAAAAAGTCAAGAAAAGTAATTTCACAAAAAATAACTTTTTGCTGGTTACAGGAATAGGAGGGTCTAATCACGAACGAGAGCGCAGACACACTAACTTGAGTAAAGGGGAATGTGCCCCTAGAGGCAGGTTAGCACAAATGATCAAGTGAGGATGGCATTAGGAGGTGTGCAAAGCGAAAGGCAACAGAGCAATCACCCAGTTTGCTGAGTCACACTCCATCCCGCAGTGATAGTAAAAACAATAACTTATGTGTAAATACACAGACGGACCTACTAAGCAGATATGTTAATGAGAAACCCAAACCAGATCCACTGCCGTTGTCAATTCCTACTCAAAGCAACCCTACAAAGGACCCCTGAGGTTATACCTCTTTATGAGAGCAGACAGCCTCCTCTTCCTCCTGCGGAGTGGCCGGTGGGTTTAAACAGCCAACCTTGGCGCTAGCAGCCCAGTGCCTAATTCATAATGCTACAAGGGCTCCTTACATGTAAGTCCATCAATAACACAATTGAAATGTTTTTTTATAATCTCTCTCAAAGTATAAAATTAGAGTGAAAGATAATCACTTAGGAAAAAACATAACTGAAATATTTCAAAATATAATTTCAAAGTAACATATTTAAGAATTTTCATATAGGATTCTTTGATCATTAATTATCTACACTTGCCATTCATCTATTAAACAATAAATGAATCAAGTCTGGTTCATATTAATAGACTTCACCTTTTCAAAAAGTTGAAATTACATTTCTACTACAGTAGAAAAGTTATTTAAAGAATGGTTTCATTTCAAAGAAGCCATTTTTTAGATATCAGCATGAAGACAGATGGTTGAATTCTCTGTAGCCATTCCCCTTCAAGTGTTTGCTCTGAGAGGGACCAAGAATCAAAAGTTTACATGTAAAATGACCTACCATACTGAACTGAATAAGGAAAAAGTAAAAATTGTAAGAAAGTTAACTTCTTTGACTCAAGTACCCTGTCATTTTTTATTGTTGCTTAGAAGGGAATTTTGAGATCATCTGTTGGCAAGCTCTCCAAAAATTCACTATCAATTCCGATTCATCTCAAACCTACAGGACAGGGTAGAGCTGCCCCTGCGGGTCTTCAAGACTCTCCCTCTTTATGGGAGCACAAAGCCTCATCTTTTTCCCTTAGAGCTGGTGGTTTCAAACTGCTGACCTTGTGTTTAGCAGCCCAGGGCATACTCACTATCCTACCGGCTCCTCTGTTGGCAAGTTCTAGGAAACAATAATCTAAGAGATTAAGAAACCTGTCTACAAGAAATTTTATTATCTATTGTTCAATCAAGACATGTAATGGACGTTAATGGCTATGACTCAGCTGATATCTGTGGGATTTAAGAGCCTTGGCATACAGAACCTAGTCATACTTCAGTGCACATTCTGGACATTTACGTATCTCAGACCAGAACAACAGACACCACCTGCACAGACAGGCCGCTGCTTGTCTGTCAGTTTGTCACACTGTGGTGGCTTGTGTATTGGTACGAATCTGGAAGTTATGTCACTGGTATTTCAAATGCCAGCAGGGTCACTCAAAGTGAACAGGTTTCAGTGACATTTCCAGACTAAAAACTGACCACGAAGAATTTCAGAGGAAGCAGTCGCTGAGATCCTTATGCATACAGAGCATCAAAGCACTGTAGATACTGAAGGTGACAGGAGTGGACGGAGAGCACTGCCAGAGACAGTGCCAGAGGATGAGGCCCTCGGGTCGGAAGGCACAGAAAATGTGACTGAGGTGGGCTAACACGGAGGCTGCGACAGTGCGCTCCAGCCTAAGAGCATCGTAAGGATGGCACAGGACCGGGCAGTTTTTGCTCTGTTGTGCACAGGGTGGATATCGGCTGGAACTGACTTGATAGCACCTAACAAGAGTAGAACAAAACTGTTACCGTATATACTCGTGTATAAGCCGAGTCTTTTCAGCACATTTTAAACGCAGTTTTTGTGGTAAAATTAGGTGGGTTGGCTTATGCTCGAGTATATACAGTATGTATAAAAAGCATTTCAAGATTAAATTTATAGGATAACGCAAAAGAATCAATAGGTTAACAGAATCCAACCACAATTTCTCATAGAGTTAATGAATATGAAATATTCACTACACTCTCTTCTTGATCATATAGCAATTAACTCAAGGGTCAAGGAAAGAATGAAGAAGGATCTGAGTACTCAAGTTCAACTACTAATCTCTTATTTGATTCTGTGACCTCTTCTCTAAAAATAAAAATATTTGGTTCTATCCACTTCATATGATTGGCATAAAAATTTAATGTTATCATGTTTATGAAATCACTTTGAAAATTAAAGTCCAATCATATGAAATACAGTTTTTTCTCAATAATTATTATTTTCACATTGATTATACCAAAAGAATTGGTGATAGTTTTCCACAAAACCAAATTAATTACAAGAATAAAAGAATACATCAATAAGGCAGAAGTAATTAATTAGTCTCCATGCATATAGCGATTATACAAGAAAATCTAGGCTAAAGAAAGAAAATACAATTAAGTATAAATCTAACTGCTATTTTGGGTAGCCGAAAGAAAGAGGAAAAACATCATGGAGTTAGCACTTTATTTAGTGACACACAAAAAACCCAGGTTCATAGTAATAGATACCCAATTTTCTAACAAAGAGCAGAACACCTCAGAAACAAAACATTATTATCAAGTAAAGGATAAAACTTGTAGCATCATTAATCAAAAACACATCCAATATACAGGAGGCCTACAAACTGGTACAGTCAGTTGCAAATGCAGTAATTCCACTTTTCAGATGTTATCTACTGACATTCTCGACATAGAGATGCTCTTATAGCCATGCTTGAAATAGAACTGTCCCAAAAGTCCACCATGCAGACAAATATTAAATAAATGTTACATTTATACATTAAAACACAATACGGCCACTTGAAAAGGAAATGCCTCAAATGCCTATTGTTGGGACAACATTGAAGTAAGTATTAGGTTTTCATAACAAAACAATGCTGCAGCTGTTAAGTAAAGCACATAACTAGAAGGATGGTTTTTCTTTTTCAAACTTCACTTTCCTATTTGATATTCGAATATGCCTCCTTCCTCAAGAGCATGCTTTCTAGTTCCAGTGAGGGCTGCTGTGACAGTGCACCACTGTGATTGACAGGATTATGCTGTCAGGTGTGCTGAGGTAGGGGAAAGTAAAGGTCATCTGATAGTGTCATAAAACACACATCTGGACTAGCTAAAATCTGGACAAAAGAGTGCTCATTAAACTGAAAATATATATTAAAAAGAAAACTTCACTGCCATTGAGTCATTCCAACTCAGAGCAACTCTATATAGGTTAGAGTAGAAATTTCCCCTTTGGTGTTCCCAAACTTTTCATCTTTACAAAAGCAGACAGCCTCATCTTTCCCCCATGCAGGGGTGGGGGGATTGAAGTGCAGACCTTGCAGTTAGGAGCTGAATGTACAGATCACTGTACCACCAGGGATCCTCAAAAATATACATGTAAACATACAATCACAGAGATGGAGGCACTTCATCTCCAATAACAAAGAGTATTTAAGGACAAAAACAACTGAGTTCTACTGACGTTAAGGGCCTAAAATTTAGGCAAAACTTACACTCAAGTTTCAAATTGTGAAAAGCTAAAAAGATCAACACTTAGTAGAGTTGGAATGCCAATTACCTACGCAAACCAAGGTTAAGCTGTAACTTAAAAGCTAGTAATTTTATTCATATTTCTGATACAGATGACCCTATAGATGAATGCAGCAAAAGAGTTTCAATGTGTACATTTAATTTATAGCCAAAGAAGAGGAAGAGAACCTACATATTACGCAGCATGGGGTCTAGGATAGAAATGAAAAGGTACAGGGAAAAGAGCAAAATAGTAACCCTTCCCACCAATACCTCTGGTCAAACAAAAGCAGAACATTTTTGCAGATTTAGTTAAAAAATCAGAAGAAATGAAAGGGTTAAGAAGAGATCTTTGCCAGATGAAGCTAACAGAAATGGAAACTTTCATAATTTTTTTTTTTTGAGAAACCACTGCAAAGTGTCCTCTTAATTTAGCAATCCATTATGCTTATATTATCATAATTGACTATACTATCTTTCCTTGTTAAAATGCACCGGCAGAGGATAGCCAAACTCATTTCCTTGAAATAAAAAAGGAAAAAAAACACCCCAAAACCCAAACACTACTTTTACAAGGGAAGATCACGAAGATAGATGAGCAATAAGAACATTTTTGGCCTTAGAATGTCCAAAGAATATCACGTTCTTTATCTGAACAAATACCCTCCTCAAAAAAGAACAAACAAACAAAACACCATTCTTCGTTTCTCTTAACATCATTTTACAAGAAGACTAAGATCTACAATTTCAATTCGTGGTTTGCAAAAAACCAAGGGGCATAGACAAGTAGGGCATCCACACACACCGCCCTGTACGTCGCCCCACTCTCCTAGGGAAATGACTTGAGTCAAAGACAGATGGAGCCCGAGCAGTAAAGAAAATATATGATAGCAGTCAGACTGAAGATGAGGACCTAGAAGTATGATAGTGGTAAGGACAACTTGATCAATAGTTTCTCCGCTTGCTGTTCAAACAGAAATAGCAACTACTCACTGTACTGTCCACTGCTGGTTTGGTAAATTGGAGTTGGCACCGTAACAGTGGTGATGGCAGGTGCTGAGGTCTCTTCTTCAGACTTTTCTTCTTCAATCCTTGGCACTCCCGGTGCATCAGATGATAAATCATTTAAAATTTTCCTAGGAAATCAGAGAGCTGTATTAATTGAAATAAAAGTAAAAAACACTGGTTAAAGACAAAAAAATTGGGAAAGGATCGGAAATGAGCATAAAGTTGCTAGTATGTTTAAAATATAAGAATTTACAAGAGTAAACTCCAAAGGAACCAGTCATCTCAATGGACAAATGAAGTATACAAGTAATGAAAAAAACAAAAGAAAACCTCCAAATACCAAAACAGATGAATTGTTTAATGTGTTAGGATATACTCAAAATCCAGATGTAAATAAGAAAGGGTTAATTAAAACAATTATACTTTAAGTTGTATTGCATGGCACTAAAACAAAGTCAAAAGAAAATCAGTAAAACCAGGAGAATACATTTACACACATCACCGATAAAGGATCAAGATCTCTAATACCTAAAGAACTCTTGGAGATCAAAAACTTGATTTTAAAAATGGGCAAAAGGCTTACACAGGCAATTACAACGGTGCTTAAAATGTGAAAAATATTCAGCTTTGGTCATAATATAAATACAAATTAAAATTACACTTATACCACTTTTTAACTCTTAGATTGGTAAAAATAAAGTGTAACAATATATTCTGTTGGCAAAGCTCTGGGAAAAGAGACATTCTCATAGATTGGTACAACCATCAGTCAACGAATTTGAAGACAGATAACAAAACTACACGTGTTTCTGCAGCAATCCCTTTTAGAAATTTACTCTTAAAATACACTTTCACCAGTACAAAGTTAACACACATTCGAGTTTATTTGTTGTAGCATTATAATTGCAAAATACAGGAAACAACCTATATATGCCCACGCAAAGAATATGGTTGAATAAACTGACATGTTCACATAATGGAACACACTTACACAGATGTTAATTTTTGTGTGTGTGGAAGATTTTTATAAACCTACAGAATGATGTCCAAAATATAATATTAAAGGAAAAAAGCAAGCTTCAAGAGGGAATCTAGAGTGATACCTTTTAAGTAAGAAAGCGGACATAATAAATATTACTATGCTATACATGTTCTTATTTTTCAAGAATAAAATCAGAAAGGTTGGTTACTAGGAGGTGGGTAGGAAAGAATACGAGAAATGGAGGGGGGCTAGTTCTGCGCACACTTCCTTATAGAAGTCTGACTTTTGGAGCCATGCTAACGCCATCCTCAAAAATAGGACAGCCAGAGCAACTAGGAAAACAAAACAATAAACCTCCCCACCCCACTCTCTCTCTACACACACACACACACACACTCTCTCTCTCTCTCTCTCTCTAAAAACACAGAGACCACTCAACCCAAGTCATTTCTCATGTTAAATTTATAACAAACTTGAATTAACACCAACTTCAGTAGTACATATGAAGCCAACAACTACTATATAGCTCTACTCCTTTTAATAATAGTTATATATAAATTACAATCCCAAACTGTATTAATACTGGTTTTAATATTTACTTGGGAGCCCTACTGATGTTAATGGGTTAATGATGGGCTGCCAACTGCAAGGTCAGCAGTTTGAATTGACCAGCTGCTCCATGGGAGGAAGATATACTTTCTACTCCAATAAGAGTTACAGTCTCAGAAACCCACAGGGCAGTTCTATCTTGTCTTATAGGGTAGCTATGAATTGGCATCTATTCCATGGGAGTGAATTTTTTCCCCTCTGGTTTTGGTTTTATATTTATTTACCTATGTCATCACCTTGTTTCTTTGTATGGCTTTGAGTTATTGTTTAGTATCCCTTTACTTCAGCCTTAAAGATCACCTAAAAGCATTTCTTAAAGTAGTTCAAATCTGCTAGTGTTGAAGAGAGCCTCCTTATTTGGTCCTGATCTTAAGGGAAAGCTTTGTCTTTTACCCTCAGTATATATATTAAAAATGCCCTTTATCATTTTGAGGAGTTTCTCTTGTTTTCCTAGTTTCCTGAGTACTTTTAACAGGAAAAGGTTTTGTCAAAGGCTTCCCTTTTGTAAAAACCGCAACAATCATGTAGTCTCTTTCCCTTTGTCTCCATTACGTGGTGTATTACATGAACTGACTTTCTTATGTTGAACCATCATTTGTTCCTTGGGTAAGTCCTATTTGGTCATGGTAGACAATCTTTTTAATATGCTGTTGGGTTAGTTTGCTGGTATTTTGTTCAACCTTTTCCCTTGGGTCTGTTGAAATGTCATGTTTCTTCTTGGAGCAATTTAGGTGTTTTCTATGCCTCCAGGTTTTCTAATCTGTTAGCCCAGTGGTTCTCAACCTGTGGGTCATGACCCCTTTGGGGGCAGGGGGGTGTCGAATGACCCTTTCACAGGGGTCGCCTAAACATATTTCCAATGGTCTTAGAAACCAAGACACTGCTCCACTATCCATCTCCAGGTGGATCCGCCCATATGCAGAAATGCTGATCTGGTGAGAAAGAAGCTCTCTCAACCTTAGCACTGACATTGGCTTTTTACGCATACTGTCATGAAATGTAGCAATTGTAGATTACCGTTATTATATTAAGACTGCTATCCATGCTACACCATGCTTCAAGACAAAGTTTCATTCATTTGCAATAAGAAATAAATTATTTCACAATATATAATTATATAATTTTTGTGATTAATCACTATGCTTTATGTTCAATTTGTAACAATGAAAATACATCCTGCATATCTGATATTTACATTACGATTCATAACAGTAACAAAATTACAGTTATGAAGTAGCCACGAAAATAATTTTATGGTTGGGGGTCACCACAACATGAGGAACTGTATTAGATGGTCACGGCATTAGGAAGGTTGAGAACCACTGTTATCATAAAACCATCTGCAATACTTATAATAGTTCTTTTAATGTCTGTAAAGCTTAGAGTAATGTCTCAATTTTCATTTCTGATTTTTACTTACTAGGGTCTTTTTTTAAAATCTAGCTAGGATTTTATCAATTTTGTGGATACTTTCAAAGTACTAGCTTTTGGTTTTGATGATTATATTTATTGTTGTTTTTTTTTAATTCTCTATTTCATGTATCTCACAGCTCTAATTCCCTCTTCCTTATTTGTCAACACTAGGTGTTGACAAATGTCTTCGTACAATGCATTGGGTTTTTGGACAACAATATCAAGTTGCTGTTAATAGCATAATTATCTTTTTCAAAAGAATGCTTTATTTTTCAAACTAATTCTTAATTAAAAACTCTGTACTGAAGTAATTGATCTCACTTTAAACTCAAGTTCAGAAAGCTTGTAACAATTATTCTCAACACTTCCTCTGATTTGTTTCAGTCTTTTTCCCTTGGCTGATATGAACTTTCAAAATGCTTATTTGTCCTTTAATAATGGAATTTATTCTGGAAGGCTGTCATTTGCAAGTTAGTAAGCATGCTTCTATGTTTTCCAGCTAAATTTCAGGTAAAAATAACCAAGTAGAGCGCACTGTGGTGACTTCATCTGGACATACACTAATCCCTGTCAAGCTAGTTGTTACAACAGAATCTATCCTGTATTACGAAATAACCCTCATTTCTTCAGCCTCATTTTGTAAACTTTTTCATTATATACTATACTACAATCAAGACAGAGACAGAGGGTTAGGTTTCAGGAATTCATAAACTTAAAACAAAATAATGGGACACCACTGAAGTTCCTTTACAAATACAGATAGTCTTGTGTAAAAGCAAGTTTTTCTCAATTGTGGTCTCACAGTCCCCTGCACTTAATTATTAAAGTTTTAGTGTTTTAATGACTTTTACTAGAATTTAGGTTAAAAGCCAACTAAGGTAAATAGAAGATACATTTTCTTCAACATCAAGCTCACTTTACAAGTTCTACAGATTAGATTTCTCTAGAAGTTAGAATTTCTATGTTTAAACATAAAAAGAAAATTTATGCATCTTGTTTCTTAGTACCTAATGGAGCTGCTTCAGGCCTCAAAAGCTAACACTAACTGTATTTAAAACAAAAGAAACTTTCAGTGTAAATACACACAGGATACACCCAGGAACTTATGATTTAAGACTTCAAAATCAAGGTATGGATATTCATTTAGGAAGTTCATTAATGATGAGGATTGAGAAAAGGGTCAGCTTGGTAACCACTAAAGTAAGTGGGTATGTGTGTAAGAAATCACCCCTTTGGAAACCAGAAATAATATAGGGTTAAAACAAGCATGAATATTTAAAAGTTTCAAGTTTTTTAATCTCTGAAGTAGGCTTATTAGTGAAGCTTATGCAATAAAAAAATGGTTTTAGTCCCACTCAAAGGCAAGGAACAGGCTAGGTTAACTTTCGTAGCTGAACACAAAGATGCCCCTAAAATCTAGGGAGGTTAGGAAAACATCGCCCTGATACAACTATTAAACGAATAGCAATCTGGTAAGCAGTTAAGTAGTATAGGTTCAAAATTGACATAACTAGAAAACTGCTACAACTGTACCACTGTATTTCAACAGGAAGGCAGCAGCCTATATAGTCTCCAAAATAGAAGCAAAAGAAAAGTGAGTGTTTATCTAAGATTACTCAGAGGAAGAATTGCTCTTATTCCATATATTAAGCCTCAACTTGAAAGAAGTAATTCAAGATGAAAAGAAGCAATCCCTAAATTGTTGGCAGAGCAAAAGGTCTCCTATCATTTCTTTATCTGCAACTACTAAGGTGTATCTTTGATTCCAAGTCCTTTTAACTAGTAACTTCCATACCTGTAGGAAGGCCTCCTGGACAGAATTTCTCTTCGTTTTTGGGAATCGGTAACGCTATCCACGGATTCCTGTGAATCTTCACTTTCTGCAATAGTTGAAATCTGAAAATAAAGGAGAACTTTATCTTGATAATCAAATTTAGCTCACATAAAATTTATATGAATTTGAAGGAAAAGTCAAATACAGAAAGATATATTTAAACCTAATACAAACTTTAGTTTTTGAGGAGGTGGGGGGTACGTGGAGAGGGGCACAACCACATTTACTCTACTGATGATAACAGAGTAAAGTCAGAAAACAAACATTTCCTTGGTCAAATATCAAACTTCCGATCTCTAAATTCAGAAAAATCTCTTTAAGTACTCCACTTAGTCAATAGCGAATGCCTCCAGTCCCTTGTCGGTGACTTGATTTCAGTGGTCAGAGCGGAACCACCAATTAAAGTCCGGTTCCTCACACGAGAGAGAGAGAAGACAGTGACTATGCAAATGTTTCTGTCGCTGTGTAAGCACTGGTGGACATTAATGCCCTCCCCATCCTTCTAGACTGTTGTTTTTACAAGTTACAAAAGTCCCCAGGTACACCTGTACACAGGTTTCAAGGTTGGCATTCTCTTATTAAGTAAAATACAAAGTAAATAACTGCATTTCTGAAAAAAATACCCTGAGCTAGAAAGTAATACCTACGTAAGGCCTCTCCTTGGGTTGGCACTAGTAACAGCAGCTCTTTAGGAAGAGTCCTCACTTGCGCCCATCTTACCGATGGAAAAAGGCAGGCATGAAGAGGTTAGGTAACACAGAGAGGCCACAAAGCTAAGGAGGGAAGCCCTGAGGCAATTATAATTCATTTCTAGACTAAAAATTACCTACGCATGCCTGTCAAACTTATCCTGCCAAATTTCTCTAGTCGAATCAGCAGGAGGCTGCCATGCACTCCAATGCTCTTAGTCCTAGATTTCACCCAGGCATTGTCTTGTGGGTTAGCACTTTGTCTAAATGTCTGGCAATGGCAGTAAGAAAAGCATATTCAGAAGTAGTTGAGAAATTCCAGTGGTATAGGTTGTATGTAGTTTGGAGAGTGGGCACTTACTTATTTTGACAAGGTTTTGTGATATGCACACTTAGTTTAAAATGAACTATGTTAGGTTAATGTAACAAAGATTTGGAAAATACACCTAGAAATGAATGTACTCTTTACCCACACACTTACATACTTAAACATTAATGAGCAACACTTAATGAATCGGAATATAATAAAAAGATAGGCAAGGCTGAATTTTGGATATGAAACTCTGTAAGGTAGTAATGCTACAGTTCTTCCTAAAGGAGTGTAGCAAACTATTTTCTACTAACTGGCAGCTGTTGTGGCTAGATCTGGGAGAAAGATGATGCTTCCTACTCCAGTAAAGAGGTACAGTCTTGAAAAGCGACAGTGGCAGTTATGTGGTGTCCTGTACGGTCCCTAGTAGTCAGAATAGAATCCATGACAGTGAATAGGATTTTTGGTGGCTAGCCCACTCTGTAATAATCTGAATAGACTGATATATAGACTAGGAGCGGTGATAGGTCTTAAGATCAGAATTTTAAGAAGTAGTAAGATTGAACTCAAGGTGAACAGACGGTCTCATCAACAGTGCTGTTTACCTTTATTCATACTCCTCAGGCTTTCCTTAGTTCCCGTTCCTCTCGCCCTAACCCCTCTGCACGACTCATAGTCTCGAACCGTACAACTTTCTCTTAAGGAGATATAGTGACTCTGGAACAGGAAGCACAATGCGCCCAACTGGACCTCATTAACAAACAAACAAAACCCTCAGATATGCTAAATAAACCACCTAGACAGCTTCATATGATACAAGTGTTTTTATATGTGGCATTTGATGGAGAAAAGGTTGCCTGCACTATGCTGTAGAAGTAATTAATTTATCACTTTAACTTTTCAAATGTTAAGGGATTTCATAACTATTCACACATCACATCCGCAGGTAGCATTTCCTCTTCTGGATACTAGCCAGGAAGAACTATAAAGCCAATTCCTATGGAAGGTCTAAAAGCAAAGATAAAGAAACCACAGTGAAGCCCTTATTTTCTAAGGTTAATAAAAATCACCACCAAAAAATCCCCTTATATAAATTATAACATAATTAAATGTGTTTTAAAAATCATTAACAATAACCATTTAAAAAGTTATATTCCAATTATACTTCACACAGAATACCATTACTTTATAATAACTCCCCAATGAAAGATTCTTTAATAGATCTCTAATCTTGGCTATTTCCAAATCAAGAAATTTTCAACGATCAAATTAAAAATGCATATATATGTATATATATAATGTTTAGGTCTGAATTTATCAACTTGTTTATTTTAAATGCATACTTCATATTGTTCTATACAGGAAAGCAAAGACCATCTTGTCTTTTTAAAAATTTTATTTTACAATAAAGTATATAGTGACATAGTCCAAATAAAGCAATGGTAACATCAGTTGCATCTCAAACATGGTCCCCTGGAAGCTCAAGTATAGAGAGTCTTAAGATGTATCCAGGTTACCACAAACCACCCTTAAAACTTTTTTTCTAATGAAGTAGTCAAAAATTTTTACAATGAAAAGGTGAGCTTAGGTTTTGCTTTTAAAAAAAATTAAATTAGGGACTGCAGTTACTTGAAAACATGGGCCCAAACAATTCCCTATAGTCCACAGAAAAATCCAGAACACAAGGGGAAGTATACTATAACTGACAAGACGTCAACATCATCCAACATCATTCATTGTCACAGTAAGTTTTTATGATTTCTACACTTTTTATGTATTAAGATAGATCTGCTGATTTGTATGCCATGTGTCCAACCCCCAAAGACAAAGATTGGAATTATAATGATAATAACTCATTGCACCGAGTTGACTCTGACTCATAGTAACTTATCAGTCAGTGTAGAACTGCCCTTGGTTTCTGAGACTATAACTCTTTACAGGAGTAGAAACCCCTGTCTTTTTCCACAGTGGGTAGTGGTTTTGAACTGCTGACCTTGTGGTTAACAATGCACAGGTAACCATTACGCCACCAGTGCTCCTTGATACAGATAATAAAAGGCAATAATAATGAAAACTAAAATTATTTAAAACAAGGTATTCAAGTTACCTAAGAACCAACTTATGACAGAGTTGTCATTAGGGAACCCCATTGCAAGTCTGGGGCTAGTAATTTCCCTGGGTAGAGTTGAGACTCATGGCAGGTGCAGATATTTACTCACCAGACCAAGCTTAATAAAATCTAATGCTAATGATCTCCAAATTCTTATGATCTACAGATCACATTTATAAATAAGAAAAACTTAAATACCGTATATACTTGAGTATAAGCCGACCCAAATATCTGCTGAGGTAACTAAGTTTACCACAAAAACTGCATGAAAAATGTGCTGAAAAAACTCTAATACATATGGTATGTATCTTAATCTTGTAAATTTTATGTACAGTATTTATACTATAAAAGAAAACATGTAAGCAATAAAATTCAAAATATTAAAAATTTCTAAATTTCTTGAAATCATTTAATTATTCAATAGCAAGAATGATAAAATATAACAAACTTCATTAAGAAACCTTTACTTAATATTTTACAACAGTTACACAAAAATTTGATTCTAAGTCCAGGTTTTTTTTGAAGTCATTTTATTGGGGGCTCATACAGCTCATCACAATCC